TCAAAGCACCCCAGGACGCTGCTCTGGAAGACCGCTATGGTCCTCAGTGCTGAGTTCAAAAGGACATTCTACCCAAAGGGCCCTGAAGGCCGTAATGTGTCTATTTCAGTTAGGAACTTAGCCGGAAGGAGAGGAAGTTAAGTCCTAGCCTGAGGCGTTTAAGCTCCCCCTGTGAAGAAGCAGTTCTAATTCACTGGAAATCTCTACTACTCTCTCCCTAAACCATTTTAAAAATAGATTTATTGTACTATAATTCACATACCATAAAATTCACCCCCCTTTAAAGTGTATGATTCAGTGGGTGTTAGCATATCCAGAGTTGTACAACCATCACCATGAATTTTAGGACTTGTTCATCAACCCAGAAAGATACCTGAATCTAGCAGCAGTCACTCCTCATTACTCTCTTCTCATGGCAATTACTTTACTTCCTATTTCTAGGAATTACCTTGTTCTGGACATTTCATAAGAATAGAATCCTACAATATGTATTCTTTTGTGGCTGGCTTCTTTCACATGTGCAATGTTCATCCATATTGTAGCACGCATCAGTACATCATTGCTTTTTATAACTGAATAATATTCCATTGTATGGATATACATTTTATTTATCCATCAGTTGATAGACATTTGGATTGTTTTCACTTTTGACTATTATAAATAATGCTGCTATGAACATGAGTACAAGTTTTTTGTATGAACACATGTTTTCAATTAACTTGCACACATATACCTAAAAGTGGAATCGCTGAGTCATGTAGTAACTCTATGTTGAACATTTTGAGGAACTGCCAAACTGTTTTTCAAAGTGGTTGCACCTTTTTACAATCTACCAGCAATGTACTTGAGGGTTCCAATTTCTCCACATCCTCAACAGCATCTTTCTTTGTTTTTAATCTTTTTGCTTTACTGAGGTATAGTTAACAAATAGGAATTGTGTATATTAAAAGTATACAACCTGACCAGGCTCGGTGGCTCAGCCTATAATCCTAGCACTTTGGGAGGCTGAGGCTAGTGGACTGCCTGAGCCCACAGGTTCGAGATCAACCCGGGCAACCTGGAAAGACCTTGTCTCTACAATAAACAAAAAATTAGCCAGGTGTGGTGGCGCATGCCTATAGTTCTGGCTACTTGGAAGGCTGAGGCGGAAGGTTGATGCTGGGGTGGCCATGAGCGAGTCACTGCACTCCAGCCTAGGCAACGAAGCAAGACTCCCAACTCAAAAAAAAAAAAAAAGTATAAAACTTAAAAAAAATTTTTAAAGTATACAACTTAATGTATCGATATATGTATACATAGTGAAATGATCACACAAGCTAATTAACATACCCATCATCTCATGTAGTTATCATTTTCTTTCATTCTCTACCATACAGAACACTTAAGATCTACCCTCTTAGCAAATTTCAAGTATATATGATGAGGGATTCCCCGCCCCAAATAAACCCAAAATTATCTTTTGGAGGGTGGTTACCTTGTAGTAAACTCGAAATTTGTTCCTCCAGATCAAATGGTCAACCAAAGTTTATATCTAGAAGTTTTAAGAAGGCAGTGTCACGATTTACAAAAGAAACATCCCAAGTTGTGGCAAAGAGGTAACTGATTGTTCCCCCAAAACAATGCACCTGCCCACACTGAGCTGAATGTTCAGCAGTTTTTGACCAAAAACAGATGACCCCCATGTTCCACCCTCCCTATTCACCGGATCTCCCCCAAGCAATTTTTTGTTTCCCCAGATGACAAAAAGTCCTCAAAAGAAAGCGTTTTGCAGATGTAAAAGTAGTGAAATAAACAAACAAAAAACTGTCTAAAGCACTAAAGGCATCAAAAGTGATGAGTTCATAGAAGGATTTGTGTTCCTCCAGGTATATTCCCAATTGGGGAACTGCTGGGTCATATGGAAGGTCGATTTCTAGTTCTTTCACAAATCGCCACATTGTCTTCCAAAGAGTTTGTACTAGTCTGCATTCCCACCAACAGTGTAGAAGCGTTCTTTTTTCTACACATCCTCGCCAGCATCTGTTGTTGTTTGTTTTGTTAATGATGGCCATTCTTACAGGGGTTAGGTGGTATCTCAATGTGGTTTTGATTTGCATTTCTCTGATGATTCTATGAAAAAGATACCTGCACACGTATGTTTGTTACAGCTCTATTCACAATAGCAAAAACATGGAACCTACCATGTTGCCCATTGAAGCTGGACTGGATAAAAAAAAAATGTGGTACATATACACAATGGAATATTATGCAGCCATAAAGAAGGACAAATATATGGACTTTGCAGCAAATTGGATGGATTTGGAGTCTATCATACTCAGTGATTTATCACATAAACAAAGAACTGAGTTCCATATGTTCTCACTCATAAGGTGACCTTGAACAATTATAATGCTAAAAGAAAGTGACTGGCAGTAGTGGAAAACTGTCAGGGGAGGGGGGTGGGACTAGCAGTTGAGGGAAACTGCTAGGGGAGGGAGGGGCATACCTCATCAACAAGAGTACCAGACAAGAGGATTGCTTGAGCCCAGGAATTTGAGACCAGCCAACACATTGAGAGCTCATCTCCACAAAAAATCAAGAGTTAGCCGGGCATGGTGGCACACACCTGTAGCCCCAGCTACCCAAGAGACTGAGGCAGAAGGACTGCCTGAGTCCAGGAGGTAGAGGCTGTGACGAACTGTGAACATGCCACTGCATTCCTGCCTGAGTGACACAGTGAGACCCCAACTCAAAAAAACAAAAACAAAAAAATTCACCAATGAAGTCATCTGGGCCCAGGCTTTTCTGTGTGGATAATTTTTTTTATTACTAATTAATCTCTTTCTTTGTCTATTCAGATTTTCTATTTCTACTTCAGTCAGTTTTGGTGGTTGTGACTTTTTAGGTATTTGTTCATTTAATTTAGGGTTACTAACTTGGCATTTAATTGTTCATAATATTCCCTTAAATCCTTTTTATTCTTGGAAAAACAGTAGTAATGTCACCACTTTCACTCCTGAATTTTATTTTTAGTCTTTTCTTCTTTTTTCTTGGTCAGTCTAGCTAAAGGTTTGTTAATTTTGTTGATTTTCTTTTTTTTTTTTTTTTTTTGAGTCTGAGTCTTACTCTGTCACCCAGGTTGGAGTGCAGTGGCATATTACAGCTACTGCAGCGATGACCTCCTGGTCTCAGGCAATCCTTCAACCTCAGTCTTCCAAGTAGCTAGAACTACAGGCATGAGACACCACACCTGACTCGTCTTGGCCTCCCAAAGCACTGGGATTACAGGCTTGAGCCACTGCATCCAGCCTAATTTTTTTATTCATTGTAGAGACAGGGTCTTGCCAAGTTGCCCAGACTGGTCTCAAACCCCTGGGCTCAGGTAATCCTCTCACCTCCACCTCCCAAAGTGTCCGATTATAGGGATGATAGGCATGAGCCACTGTGCCCGGCAATTTTTTTTCTTTTTTGAATATAGGTGTTTCCGGTTAAAAATGCCCCTCTAAATGGCACTTTAGCTGTATTCCATAGGTTTTAGTATACTGTGTTTTTGTTTTCATGTTATTCAAAGTATTTGCTAATTTCTCTTGTCATTTCATTTCTTCTTACACTCATTGGTTATTTTGAAGTGTTCTGCTTCATTTCCACTTTCCGTGAATTTTCCAAATGTCTGTTATTGATTTCTAATTTCACTCCATTGTGGTCAGAGAACATATTTTGCATTAGGTCAGTCCTTTTAAATGTACTGAGCCTTGTTTTATGACCTAGCATATTGTCTATTCTGGAGAATGTTCCATATGGACTTAAGAAGGGTGTATATTCTGCTTTCAATAGGTGGAGAGTCTCATAGATGTCTTTTAGTTCTAGTTAGTTTATAGGTGTTGTTCAAGTCTTATCTTTTCTAGTTGATCTGCTGTCTAGTTGTTCCATCCATCATTGAATGTGAGTTTTAGTCTCCAACTATTATTGCTAAATTGTCTATGTTTCCCTGAAACTCTGCCAGTTTGTGCTTTATATATTTGAGGGCTCTGTACCAGGTGCCTACATGTTTATGACTGTTATGAATTCCAGATGAATTGATCCCTTATTCTTCCTTGTCATTACTAATTTTTACCTTTAAGTTTACTTTGCTTGATATTATGATATTTACTTCTGATCTCTTTTGGTTACTGTTTGCATTTTTCTTCCTTTTACTTTCAATCTATTTGTGCCTTTGACTCTAATGCAAGTCTTATACACAACATATAAACGGATCACATATTTTTTTCATTCTACCTATTTCTGCCTTTTGATTGATTCACATTTAATGACCATTTTGTTATTTGTCTTCTATATGTTTTATGTCTTTTTTATCCTTCTATTCCATTACTGCTTTCTTATGTGTTAAAAAGATGTTTTCTAGTGTACTATTTTAATTCCTTTGATGTTTATTTTTAATGTATTTTTAGTTATTTTCTTGGTGGTTACCCTGAGGATTACAATTAACATCTTAACTTGTAACTATGGATCTTGTTTTGCTTGAAGTTTCTACTTGGAATTTGGATACGCTAGTCAAAATTAAGTTCATAAAAATAAAAAGGAGGCTGGGCACAGTAGCTCAGCCTGTAATCCCAGCACTTTGGAAGGATGAGGCAAGAGGATTGTCTGAGCCCGGGGGTTTGAGACCAGTCTGGGCAATTTGGTGAGACCTTGTCTCTCTACAATAAATCTCACACACACACACACACACACACACACACACACACACACACACAAACTAGGCAGGCATGGTAATGTGCATCTGTAGTTTCAGCTACTTGGAAGGCTGAGGCAGGAAGGATCGCCTAAGCCCAGTAGGTCAAGGCTGTGGTGACCATGAGCATGCCACTGCACTCCAGTCTGAGCAACAGAGTGAGACTCTCACTCACTCACTCAATAAATAAATAAATAAATAGGAGCTCTTCAAGTTCACAAATACTGTATAGATACACACCAGGAGGTTCTTACTGTAATAAGCACCTACCTCTGATAAAAACACTTACCTTATCTAATAATACATTCTGCCATAACCTAAAGATATTGAGGTAACTTCTATCCCTGGCACCAAAAGATGTAAAGAAAAACTGCAAAGAAAAATAAGAGGACAATTTTAGTGTCAGGGAAAATAAGGCAGAAATATTTGTCATTAAGGTCTGTGGGGACTCGCTATTGTCAAAGCAAACTAGAGGTAACCACTGAATACTTTCTATACTGCTTTTATTTAACTTTTTGTTACAATAAAAGAAAAATAGATAATATATTGTATGAACAAGGTGTCTTTGCAAATCATATCTTATAATAAATCACATCTTACAACAAATACAATTTTGTCAGTATTTACTAGGAAAGGGGGCTTGAAATAAGTAGCTACTAAAATCAATCTAAACAAAATTATGAAAAATTTATTTTATTCTGAACTTGCAAAAATATATGAACTGGTTGCCATTTGAGCCAAGTATACAAAATGAATAAGAAAAAATACATGTGAATTTCAGAGACAGATTTATTGTAAGGATTTAATTTTAAATTATATAGTTTTCATAGTCTTCTAAAAACTCCAGAAATACCTAATCTCTGCTAAGAGATTATTAGCTCTTTTAGATATAAGACACCCATGTTAACATTGAACTTTTCTTTGAATGCTATAGAAGAAAGGTAACATGTTTTAATCTACAGTTCTAAGTTTACATTTAACTGATTTTTGCAAAGTCATATTTTAAAATAGGCTTTTATGAGAAAATGTGACAAAAGGCAGCACTAAATACAGTTTCTCTATGTCATCTCTTCCAATCCTCATGACCTTTCATGAATGAGTGGTTACCTTTAGAAAGATAAAAGTTCAGATCTATGCTGAATTTATTAAGTAAAATATCAAACAAATAATATTTAGGGCATTAATGCGTCTCACAGAAAGATTTTAAAGTGTTATTTTCCAGTTTATTAAATTGAAACCTTGCTATATAGTCTTCATAAAGCAAAATTTCTTACAAAGAGCATATGTTCAGGAGCTCCTACAAACAGAATTATATATATAATATGTGAGCTAATGATCACTACTTACTGTTCTTTATTCCATTTTCTTAGTCCAAATTGTTTTGTCTAATTATGATAATCTTACAACCCTGCAATCAGATATATATGATTTTTTAAATCTCCTAGTCTAGCTCATTTTTACCACTGTGTTATGCTTGCTAATTCCCACTTCTTAAACTAAATACCTTGTTATTAACTTCATCCACTCTCACAAACAACCACCACATTTTCAACTCCTTAAAACTCTCAGCTTTCTGGATAATCTACATAAATTACTACCTTCCTTTATTCCATCCTAGATGTCCAACTACAAAAAAAATTAATAAATCGTGATTTAATAATAGCTTTCTTAATTTGGGAAGAATTCTGGATAATGATACCTCTAAGCTTCTGAGGCATCGAACATATTCTAGAACCTAAAACAACTAAAAGTACCAAAACTAATCTTCCTTCCATCAGAGAGTACATAAAAGGGTAAATATTTAGTAGTACCGTTTTCGCTATGATGATGGAAAAAAAAAAAATCATTGAGCTAACATTGTGAGGAAGATGAGACTAGGGTCTCTGCAATTAAATGTCCAGGGTTCATGTTTTAGCTTTCCCACTTATTAATTCTGTGACTTTGGGTCACTTCTCTTTTCTTTAGTTTCCTTGTCTGAAAAATGAGAATAATTGTAGTAGTGGATTTTTGTAAGAAATAAACCAGAAAATATATGTAAAGAGTCTTAAAAAATTAGAAATAAGCTAATGATCAAGGAAACCACCATATATTCACTTTATGAAACACTATACAGCACTTTAAAAACCAGAAATAGGTCTACCTACTGGTGTTGATCTGCAACTCCAAGAAATAATGTTAAGTTGGTTTTTTTTATAATAAGGAGAGCTGATAAACAACACATATAAGAAACCAGAGATAGGTCTATCTACTTGTGCTGATCTGAAACGCCAAAAGATAATGTTGTTTTAAAAAGGAGAGCTGACAAACAATACACATAAGATTGTATGCATTTCCTTTTTTTTTAAAAAAAGAGCCAAACTATATGCTTATATATATGTACATAAACACAAAGGAAGAAGGTCTGAAAGGTCTGAAAAGATATATACCAAGCTGATAGCAATGGCCTCTAGCGGGGGGAAAAGTGGAATTGGGGGTTATGGGCATGAAATGAAGACATTAGTTTTTAAAATGTTTGATGGTTTTACTGCATAATGAAAAGACATATATGTATTAATTGCAAAATTAAGAATTAGTATATTTTAGTTCTTCCCACTCCCTTCCTGAATAGTTCAGCCCTAAGGCATCAGTGGAATGGAGAAAAGTAGGCATCCACACTAGGGGAGCAGGCAGGGGCAGAGGAACTGTAGCCTAAAGCAGGGGTCAGACTAGAAAAGAGGCTTTCCACAGAGAAAAGGCTGCCCTCTTTGGAGTGTCAGAGCCCCAGTGAGTAAAAAGGACCAACACATATGGGGATGATGCAGAATATGGTATGAGAACAAGAACAGTGTGAAAAAAATAGAGGGAAAGGGCACAAGTCAGAGCCCAAGTAGAATCACCATGTAAATAAGTAGCTTGGTGTGAAGTGTGACCATACAAAACATGGTGAAGTGTATGGCCATGAATGAACACAGTTTACAACGGCATGTCAGAGCCACAGCAAGTGAGTGCAGCATAGGTGACAGAGTCCATGAGCATGGTCTTGGGTTAGGGTGTCAGAGCCTAAGCAGGGTGGGGCCAGCAACCACACAAATTGACAGATCAGCACAGAATGTTAGAATATAAGCAGGGAATGGAAGGCATCCCTGTGGAGGGTAACTTGGTGCAGAGCAAAGTGAACTCAGAGAAGGGGCTTGGTATGGGGTGTCAGCCCAAGCAAGATAAAGAGAGTTTTTACATAGTGAGAGCATCTATGTCATGGTGGGACGGGTGGCAGCCTGACTCTAAGTGTCAGAAACCAAGTAGGGTAAAAGGGCATCTCTGGGGAAGAGTGGCAATGGAAATAAAGATTGGTTACATACAGGCCAACTGGTCAAATAAGTAACTATATTAAGGATAATGAAAGCCTGGTTTCTCACTGCCGGGGAAGAATAGAAAGATTGGAGTTATAGAAGGCTTGAAATTGAAGGTATTAGTGCAAATTAATGGTGTTGGATGGATGGATGGATGGATGGATGGATGGATGGATGGATGGATGGATGGACAGACGGATGGACAGATAAATAGATGTATAAGTGGGTGTACATATGTGTGTGCACTATGCATATGGGTGTGTGGTTATATATACACAACGTAAACCCTAGTTCTGCTTACTTAGAATATTTGGAAATGCCCCAACAGCAAAGAACGTACTGGCTTCTAAATACTGGTTTCTTCTAAAAGGAACCAGGACTCCTTGGAGAAGTGACCACTTCCACAACTAGGGCAGGGAAAACCTAAAACGTTTTGTGACAAAAGGCAAGGAAATGCTCAGACACACTGAGAATAGCTAAAAAGACGCCAGAGACAACTTGAGGGGGTTCCCAGTGGTCAAATTTAGGACAATTTGAGCATCAAAATAATTATAGTAGCAGATTATAACTCACTGAATAGAAAATCACAAGTTCATACTGATATAATAAATAAATTTAAAGTACGGTAAGAATGGTATATTTACATAGTTTCAAAGTACCTTGCCACAAAATACTTATTATTATAAAGGAAAACGGACTAACTTTCTAGGAAAGCCTGCAGACACCACCTTAAATAAATGATCAAAGTAAATATCATCAGTAATGGTACAAATTGAAATCATGTGCTATCTGACAGGATGCAACAGGAAGAACAGAGCATCACTTTTATGTATTTCTTCCAAAACTGCATAACCTAAATTTAATCACAGGGAAACATCAGACAAACACAAATTGAAGGATATCCTACAAAATAACTGACCTGTAATCTTTAAAAGTGTCAAAGACATAAAAGTCAAAAAAAGACTAAAGAACTCTTCCAGGAAATTAAAGACCATGATAACTAATTATAATGATAACTAAATGTAAAAGTCTGACCTGTGTCTATTTGCTATAAAAGACATTATTGGGATAATTGTAGAAATTGAATGGTATCTGAAGATTAAGCAATGGTAACATATTAATGTTAATTTATTGATTTTGATGGTTATATTGTGGTTAAGCAAGATAATGTCTTTGTTGAAAATACATGCCAGAATATCTAAGGTGATGAGGGATCAGAATGAGAATTTATTCTCAAATAGTACAGGGGGAAAAAATCCTTTGTACTGCACTTGGAAGTATTCTGTAGAGATGAAATTGTTAAACATAAAAATGACCAAGTGTGGTGGCACACACCTGTAATCCCAGCTACTGGGAAGGCTGAGGTGGAAGAATCATTGAACCCAGGAGTTTAAGGCTTGTCTGGGCAACATAATGAGACCCTATCACTAAAATAAATAAATAAATAAGACTTAAAGTGGCCAGGCAAGGTGGTTCATGCTTGCAGTCTCTTTGGGAGGTGGAGGTGAGAGGATTGTCTGAGTCCAGGGATTTGAGGCCTAGCCTGGGCAACTTGGCAAGACCTTGTCTCTACAATGAATCAAAAAAGTTAGCTGGGCATAGTGGTGCAAGCCTGTAGTTCCAGCTACTTGGAAGGCTGAGGCAGAAAAATTGCCTGAGCCCAGTAGGTTAAGGCTGTGGTAGCCATGAGCAGGCTATTGCACTCTAGCCTGGGCAAAAGAATGAGATTCCAACTCGAACAAACAAACAAAAAAACCCAGCCTTATAGTGCATTTAAAGGAAACTTTATAAGAGCAAAAACTATAATTACAAATATTTAACATCACAGTACTATTTCTGTTTCTCTCTCCATCCCTCCCTCCCTCCACTTCTTTCCTTCTCTTTCCTTTTTTGCTTTCTTTCTTTCATTTCTGTCTTTTCATTCCTTCTTTCCTTCTTTTTCTTTCTCAGCATTATGCTTCTAATGTTACACACGGGGCCCTAATCAATTTTCCAGGTGGCTATAGAAAGATTCCTCAAACGGCCCCACTAAAAAATGGCAGATATTGTAGGAAATAATAAAAATGATGGCAGTTAAAGATAACTGTTATTTTTAAAAGGATTATAATGATTATGTATTTATTTGTATGCTACCCAAATCTCTGTTCACCAGGAATATTTGTTCCTATTAGTTGCTATTAGGCAGTTATTATTGACTAAACAACAATCATGGAATTATCAGGGTATTTAGAAATAATAAGAACATGTTGCTAATGTTTACCCCACCTACCTCTTACAATGAAGAAATGAAAAACATGGGTAAAAGTTCTCTTCAAACTGTAAAGTATAAAAATAGCAGTCAAAGTTAATCACTAATAACTATTTATATATACAGAAATCTCCTATTAAGGAAAATGTATCTCTAGCAGACACTCCTAACTCCAAGAACTGCCTATATTCCCAACATTAATGATCTGAATTTTTAGATTATTATGTAATATAGCAAAGGCAGAAAAGTTTTTCACCTTTTCACCCTCTGTGATGATCTGGATAGCATTTGGGATAAGTCGAGCAGTTTTCTCCTTGGTCATGAAGGTTATATTCTTTAAAGCAATAGAAATCTAAACACACAAAAGAATTTAAAAAATTTTTTTCAGAAATATATACCACACAAAATACCAAGTATCATATCAATCTGATCCAGAATATTCTGTTGAAAAACCTGAATGTGTTAATACGCATGTGATTGCATTCTCTGAGAAAAACAGGGTAAGCAGTCAGACATTCTTCCCTTTGGTATTCTGCCCCCCGCCCCCAACTCCTGTATCTAACATTAGGACAAAGTGTGAAAAGGCATGTGGGTGTTCATGTTCCACAATAACACACAAAACCCAGACAGTCTGTCACATAAGACATGGTTTTGGAATCCTATAGACATATGTTCAAGCTTTTTTCAACCTGAAATCTCTTTTTCTAACTCTATTAAATAAGTACAAATGGAGCTAAACGTATTAAGTTAAAAATATATTACACAGTATATACAACATGTAAATGCATTTACTCATACAGAAGTATAGATACACAAATATATAAAAATTAACTTTGGAATAATCTAAAGTACATTGCTTTCGGAGGAACTATATATATATTTCTATCCATGCAATTATTTGTATCAACAAATCAAATACAAAAGTCTTACTGTAGTTTCCCATCTGAAAATGTTGCTATAGAAACATAGCCAGTTTTCTGAAAGGTATAGTCGTCCCTGAAGCAAAATGTCCCTCTGAAGAGCACAAGCATAATCTGTATACACAAAAATAAGAAACAGCTTATTCACAAAAATCTGGCAACTTAATAAACCTTATACTATTTAAACACATGAAAAGTCATCACTTTTTATTTATTCATTCATTCATTCATATACTTTGGACATCATAAGACAGATATTTTGCTGTACACTAGGGTTAGCAGAAATGACTCTTGCTCTCATGGAACACAATGTAGAGGGAAGGTAGAAAATAAACAAATAAATACAAAAATAAGTATGATATTACCAAAATGTAAAGTAAGTCATGAGAACATATAGTAAGGGCTATGTAGCTATGGGGGACAGGGCAGAAAGAGAGTATATCAGGAAAGATTCCCCCGAAAAAGTGGTCTTTAAACTAAGATATAAAGATCAACAAAGATCTGGCAGAATCATGAGAAAGCAGCCCATGCAAAGGTCCTTTGGTAGAAAGATATACAGCATATTTGAGGAATTATAAAAAGATAGATCTCTGGGCTGGAGAAGCTAGATTATGTAAGGTCTCACAGGCTATGGTAGGCTGTGGATTTCATGAGAAGCCACTGATGAGCTTTAAGGGGAAGAGGCATGATCAGAAGTGTATTATTAAGGACAACTTAATTCACACACTGCGAGAGTGGATTCTGATACATTAGTTGAAAGTCTATGGAAATGCTGAGGTGATTCAGACCTTCTCAGAAGGTGACAATAAGAGACAGAACAGTTCTATTCAGAGTATTCAGGAGGTAGTACTGATGGGGAATTTGTGACTGATTAGATGTTGGACAAGGATAAAGGACAGATCAAAGATGACTCAGAAAGTTGTAGACATTTTAAGTCAGTTTCAGAGTTGATCCTCTTTATCTCATCACTGATATCCAGCAAAATGAAGAGTCTACCTACCAAACCAAGTTAATACCATGCCTCTAAGACTGAGTTCTGGCTCTGTGGCTAATGTAAACTGTATTGCTAAATTATCAATAATACAAGATATAAAGAATTGCTATGAGGAGATTTAGCTTAACTGCTAAATTTTAAAAGACTATAATGAGCAATTTTAGGTAAATGTCGCATAGAAGATGTTTAAACTTAGTCATGTTAAATGCAAATACTAAAATATGAGCAAAGGAATTTCAGTCATTCATAATGCTTCCTTCGGCAAAACAAAACTGAGATGCCACCAAACACAAATTCCTTGTAAATAATTAAGCAGATTAAGTTACTCATTACCTAGTATGCATCTTTAAAACAGAGATTAGGTTAAAGGTCATCTTCAGGTGTCCTGAAATTTTTAAACCACTGAAACATTTTTCAATTCAATGCTCCTCAAACTGCAAATCAGAACTACCTGGCAGACTTATTAAAACAAAGTTTTCTAAGCCTTTCCTCCAGAATATCTGATTAAATAGATCTGGACTGAGGCTGAGCCTGCATGTCTAACAAGGTGATGCCAGTGTTACTAGTCTATGGACCACACTTTGAGAACCACTGTTATTTTACATTAACTATAGTCAAAGATATATAGTAATTACCTGGATTATTTTACCTGAAAACTACTTGATATAAATTGGCAGAATTTTTTGGTGGTTTTCCTAAAGTGGGTATGTTTTATCATAATAAATTTATACCTTAATAAAATTGATTTTTTAAAACAGCTTTCTGGCAATATGTCCTATGTAAGAAACAAAACTTTTTTTCAAGCAAAAGTATTTCACTCTATTTTTGCTTCCAATTTTCCTACTGATAAAGCATGTACCACAGTTAATAATCAGCATTTCAGGATGTAATATTCTACCTGATCTGAGTCATATTAACAATCTGATTAATTTAGAATGGAATAAGAAAATAATGTTTATCAAAAATAGTTTTATGGATTTTTAGCTTTATAATTGGTTACTATTAATAGAGTAAAATTAAAGATGTTAACCAAGAAACTTAGTTCACTTTCATGCATGCATTAAAATCAATTTACAAGCTATTATATGAACAATTTTGACACAATTGAGGGGCCCCAATACCAAAAGATGTATTTAGTAATTGCAACATAACAAGGGAAGTAGTACAAAGTGCTATGGAATTCAGGTGGAGTGAATCAGTACCATACACTTCCAGAGTAAGCTTGCATGCAACAAGTGGTACACACATATTTACAGAAACAAAATTTACTATTTAGTTTTACTGAACAACTTATCATATCTACCCATAGGAAAGTAACAATGAGTTAAGAGAATGTATTTTTTTAAACAATCATATCAGGAAATATATATCCAAAAGTATTCCTTTCTAACAGCAATCATCTTTGGGAGCCCAGTAATTCTGGTATTGTCAAAAACAAACAAACAAAACACTCTTTGAAACAATTTTTTAGGATTCCTTTCAGTATAGCAATTAAATGACAAAAGATAACCATTCTCACATTTTAATACTTTACATTTTTTTAATTTATTATTTGCTTTCTACCTGAAACAACTGTAAGAATAAAAGCAAATTTTAAAAAATTAATTTTTCCTGCTGTAAAACGGTAGACACCACCTCCTCCCTCCTCTTAGAGCCCTTTCTTTAGAAAACTTATAAATCTTTTCTCTGCTCCTTTGAAGATGTGAATCTCTTAAAAATCTACATAGACCTTTGCCAGTTTTAAAACCCAGGAATGTTTTCTCAAGGATCTGGGAGCAATCTTTTTGCAATGTAAACATCAAGGGAGATAGCACCTCAATCTCCTAGTTTCTGCAAGAAGGTAGGAGCCTAACCTCAGTGGGTGCCAGCTCCAAAACTACTTCTTGTCATAAAGACAGGAGTTCGTTTTTCTTTGGATTAAGACCATTAGATAACACTGACAGTTACCCCAATTACCAGGTAAATTTAGGGCGAACGATGTGTGACAAATGGTGATGCCAAATCGTCTTACTTGAAGACTACTTATCATTCTTTAAAGCATGTCACGTAATGGGCTAAATCTGCTTGGCTATATAGCAGTGAGTTTTCTTTCTGCCTTTGCAATATCTTCTGCGGATTGCCTGTGATGCACATCACATTCTGGTTTCATGTTAATCAATAATAAAGTGCTTTTGTTTCTTCTACTTTTGCAGAAAGGTTTTCTAAGTTGGTAGGAGATTTTGTACTTAATTAAATTTCTCCAATACAACATTTTCCAGCTTGTACATCTACCTTGTTACTCAGCTAATCAGAGTTAGATGAAGAAAATAGAAATGTTTTGAGCACTGACATCACTGAAAAAAGTATACAGGCCCCCAAGCTGAACACTTTCAAAGGGATACACAAATTTACAAGTGTAAATACTGTTATTTTAGAAAAAATCAGCACATAGATAGTCTAGTCCAACTTGGGAGGAATACTAGACATGTATTTATTTCCTCCTTCTGAAAAAATCCCAATTCTTTTGAGATGACAGGGAAGATGTATAAGATATTGAATTCATAACAGTGGTAAGGGGTGGACATAAGAATGGGTACATTAGCAGGTTGAAAGTTGGGATAAGGTTTTCAAAGTCAGAGAGTATATACCAATAGACAGATTGTAGAGAAAGCCTCAGCTCAAAAAATGCACAGGAGAAGGTGAAGCAGAGATAAAGCCATTCTTCCTGACATCTGCACGCTTAGAATCAGCTGGTACAAAGAGGGTTTGCTAGAATAGGGACAGATGGCAGGTCTGACTAATGAAGGTCACATTCACCACCGCCTCTAACACAGTGCTAGTTTTTACCCCCAAGCTCTAATGTAAGAAAAATATAAGCCGTATGCTTAGGAAAGGCTACAGCTCCTAGCGTAAATGATGTCCCAGAGACAAGGTCTCATTTTGGCATTTTAGGTTCTGGGTGGAAATCCCAATCTGTCTCCTCTCTGCACAAACTGAAGATCTGTTAGTTAACATGCCTTCTTCCTACCTTCCCAGACAGATAGGGTAAACAGAGGTATAGGTATACAGTGGTAATCCATCTCAACTGTTTAACCAATTAAGTCCTTCATCGAATAAAAGGACAACCCTAAGGGTGCCTGCATAATCAACGTTTGTATACCTAACCCTGAATTGTACCCCACATCTTTATAATAAAAAAATTTTAAAAAAAAGAAAAGGACAACTCTAAGACTATATCATTCATATTCTCTCAGTAAACATGTTTTCACACCTACTCTCCCATTTTTCCACTCCCAGGCCCCCCCACTACAATTCAGTCCCAACTCATCTCAGTTTTTTTTTTAACTCCAAAAACAAATTAGAAAGACTACTCTTTCCCTATTGCCTAATTAGGGACTATCTATACCTTGAAAGTTGAATAAAACTATCTGTAAAAATATCTGGGCATAGGGCTTTTTGTTGGGTAGACTTTTGACTAATAAAATTTCTTTACGGATTATAGATTCTTTAAGTAATAGATATTATGCTCCTCCTAATACATTTCAGTACATTACAGCCCAATTTCCAACCACCAGCATATTTCAATCATTTTACCCAAAGACTTTCTCTCCCCACTAAGAGCCTCATTCTGCCTATATTCATGGTAGGCCAGAAGTGTGGTATAACTAATGAATCCCCAGAATACCATATATTTCTAGAAGTAGAATTGCTGGGTCAAATATTTAATTTTAATATTTATTTAGTCAAGATTACACAAGAAAAAGAAAGGTGCAAATGAATATTAGGAGTAAAAAAAAGTAGACATATATACTGGCACTAAAGTAAACTTTTAGAAATATTCTAGGAATCGTTAGTTGCCCTAATTATAGCAACTAACAAATTAATTACAAGGACTACACTCCATCAGAAGCTACTATATGCCCTTCAACTATATTTATCACTGTTCAAATGTTTGGTTAATTCACATATACATGTACGAAAAAGGTTTTCATGGGTGAAGTAAGCAGCCTGTTCATCAGGATACTGGATGCTAGACAGGAGGTCACGTTGGTGAAAATCAATCTTATCAATATGCATAAATTGATTAAAATATTTTAGAGACCTTCCTCACTATTATTTGTACGAAGTATAAAAATCTAGT